TACATCTCCACTCGGACAAGGCCAATGCACTCCCACCGTAGGATTCGAGATTACCCAGCATCTATTCAAATCATTGAATTTTAATACAGCCTTCAATTGTTTTGACCTAAATAGTGTCCTTGATAAGATCAGAAATTTTTCTCACAAGCCCAATCTTTCTCATTGAATCACCGATTCATTCCTAGCTAGCCATAATGTCCTTAAAGTTGCATCACACCTAGACAACTACTTTTTTCCAGACGGCAGATAGCCATTTCACATTGATACAACACCTCCTCCACCTTAATAAAAAACACCCATGTTAAATCCCCTCATCATAAAACATTGCACCAGACATTCACACAAAAATGTGCACATAGTGCTCCACCATCCATTTACACCAAATACGGTCTGTTCAACCTTAGATTTAACTTTAGGAGGTATACTATATTTGCAAGCAAGCCAAAGCAGCTTTTGCATTTTTGGAAGATTTCCACTACTACGCTAAACAAATCTGATTGTCCGAATTGATATGCTGATTGTCCAGAAAGTTTACCAATTGTTTAACAGAGAATAGCCCCTTTTATCTGGTTCCCACAATCTTTTCTTCTCCTTTCCACACGGAACATATACATTCACCCTGCAGCGCTTAAAATAAGACCCGACCATATTCCTTTTGTAACAATGAATCTTACCTTGACCACCTCAGTGTTTTTACAAGGAACATTCTTTCTCCAATATTATCAAAAGACCACCAGATTTGCCCTTAGCATGGCAGAAATCACAACCAAATTACTAGGAGGCCAAATCCTCTTCATGATTCTAAAATCACAAGTCTTCAAATTGGTTTCTTGCAAGAGAACCATCTCAAGATTCAACATCCTGATCAGTCCTATCTCTTATACTCCGGAGCCTTACCACCAAAAGTACCTAAAAGAAAACTCTCATACACCAAATTTCCATGAGACTCAACTCAATTCATCAAATATAAACAGAGAAACAATGAGAATTCGAATTTACCTAGCCCTTGTTTGTCTGTCATTACCTCTCGCTTCTTCCTCCATTTTCCACCTTCTAATTATCTCTTCATCATTCCCCACTTCCCAAGTCGCCTAAGCTTCCTTCAACAAATCCATTTCTTTTTCTTCTTCACATATTACCCTGAACCGATTTTGAAAATCCCCATCCGAGATTGATCCATTTTGCAATCGGTGATCCCCCATCCATCCTTTTACTTTTTCGAGTTCCTTTCATACTTTTCTTCACGATATTTTTTCCTCTGTTATTAACTTTGCCTAGTAGCTGATCTTCTATGTACTCATAGAACCTCCATTTTATCTCTTTACTCTCAGTTGCACCCACTCTTTTCCCCTGTTCGTGATCATCTGTTTCAGCCACAAAAGAGGTTGTATTATCAGCCTCTGTATTGGGCCCTATCACCCCATTTGTCCATGCCCAAAACCCTATTTTTTTGACTTTTGAAAGCCCGCTCCACTTCATTAATCTTAAAGCCATTACCCATCACTGTACATCCTATTTCTTCATTTAAGCTCTCTTTGTCAAAGATTGGGAGTACCCTCCAATCTCATTTGACCTCCTTTCATTCCTTACGGCGGCTTCGCATTCTCCTAAACTTATTCTCTTCCCAGTATCTTTACCCATTATTTTAGTTGTTCTTCCATTAATGTCTCCTACAGCCTCTTTTCTTTCTTCTAAGTCAGCTTTTTCATTGCTAGTACTTGTCTGTTCAGCTTTTACAACTTCATCTTCCTCGTCCAAGGCTTTTTTGCTACTGGCGTCGTCTAATACCTGATTCTGTATGCTTTCCCATGGATGTAAATGCTTAACTTTTGGCTCAATTTCTGATACTTTAACTAGGTGCAAAATATCTCCAACCTGTAACTGGACAATCTCTTCAATTTTCTCCATAAATTTAGTCATAATCCGAATATACCTTTCGTCTCCCTGCTTATTTTATTTTATTATAACTTTCATTAACTTTTTATAATATGGTCACCAAATTTATTTTTATGAAATTTTTTTGTATGTATATTTTTTTTTATTTTTTCTTTCTTTAAGTATATATATATATATATATATTCTTTTATTCATTTATATAAAAATAAATTTGAAATTATTATTGATTTAGGTAATCAACCATTGTTCATAATAAAAAGTAATCATATCCTTTATTTTTTAATTTATACTAGTGCCTTATATCTTTTCTATATTTTATTATTATTTCACAAATTTGAGGAAAAAAAAAACATGTACATGAAAAAGCACACAATTGGAATATGTCTATTTTAATGAGCTTGTTAAATTTATAAGAAAATATTAATATAAGTTTATAATTAATTTTATATATTAAGAAATATATAGATTTTTAAATTTTTTCATTAAAATTAATTTTGAAAAAATATAAATGCGTGGAAATAATTCTGAACATATATTTTTTATGGATTACTAAATATTTTTCTCTTTTATTTAATTTAAAATATAATATCATGTTAGATATCAAGTGTCACGTAGCATCATATATTCAACTAGCAACGCAATAGTGATATCGCGGCTACTATTTAGCGAAATTGACATCCACCGCCACTGTTTTTTAACCAATATTAGATGTGAAAAAAATTCACGTCTTTAACGATTCATTGTGGTCGTAAAAAAACAGCATAGCAACTAATAGTGGCAATAACAGGCCGCAATCGATGCTATTTCTGTTTTTTTTTAAGAATAAAGGAGGAATCGACTTGATAGAGGAGTTTATACTCAATAGATGGGTAAAAAGAATAAACTTGCTTGCTGTGGATCTTGGTGGCAGTGTAATCACTGGTATCTATGCTAATCATCTCGGAGTTTTGACTAGGAAACTTTTTATTCCACTTCATAAGGTCCGAGATAATAACTTTTTATATAAACTTGATGGGGCACCTGTCAACAAGGAAACCGATTCTAGGATTGAAATAATCTTTAACAAGTTGCTTGGCAAAGTCATGGAAATGAGAAAAACATAGGTGGACTTGCAAATTATATTTCTCTAGGATCATTTCTAGAAAAGCTCTAGCAATTGTATGCTTCGGCTAAAGTACAGAGAAAAGGCAACTTCTAGAATGGCATCTTGCTAATTTGAAATATGCAAATGCAGGATGTCTTTCTGACTTATCAGTTGCCTATTGGGATCAGGATGATCCTTATGAGAAGTGTAGAGACCATTTTTTTTTTAGAAAATTAAAGATTGATAGAAGCATTATGTGATGGATTTTTTTCATCATCAAGCATTAAAATTTCAAAATTTCAATGAAGATTAACAAAGTAAAGCCCCAAACATAAAAAAAAAAAAAAATCCTAGATTTACAATGACTCAATAAAAAAAAGGTTCAATAAAAAATCAAGAAAAAGTTGTTGAAATCAAATAATAATAAAACACTTAAACTTACCTTTTCTTCCTTATTTAAGTGTTTGCAATTTTGTTTTGTATAGAACTTAGAAAAACTTAGATTGAGATTTTGCTTGAAACTTTAAAATCTAAAAAACCCATCTATGAGTACTTTGTGGGCATGGGTTTGGGACTATGTTGGTTGGATCAAAGAAGAAATCAAATGAGTCATAACATTGATTAGGTGGAAAGTTGGATGAGAGTGGAAAGTTGGAGGCTGGTTGGTTGCCATGGCTGGTGGATGATAAGCGGGAATGGTAGAAAACAGGGGTTGAGAAAAAAATGAAAAAAGTTTGAGTGGAAAGATTTGAAGAATTTTGCATTTTTAATTGAAAGAAATATTTGAGTGTATCAGAAAGTTTGGTGGGCATTAAGTTTGGTAAATGCTTGATCGAACAAAAATTAGATTATTTTTTATTTTTTATTTCTTATAAATTTAGGGACAATTGGTTAAAATTGAAAAGTTTTGAGAATTAAATTTGATTGAAAAATTTGAGATGAAAGAGTTTAATGTAAATTTGAAAAGTATATTATATTATAATTTAGATGAAAAAATAAAATATAAAAATGATTAATATATTAATTTGATTTTATTTCTATTTTTATTTGGATTTTATTAATGATTTTATTGTTTTAATATTTGTATGTTAATTTTCTAAATGTGAATATTTTATTATAATATTAAAAAATTGTAAATAATTTTTATATAAATAAAATAAGATAAGGTGTCATTAATTACTTTAAAAATTATGAAAATTTTTTTATGAGTATAATTATAATTATTATGTTTTATAAAAAGTTGTGCAAATTTTAAAAAAAAATCACGACTGCAATAATCGTAATGATCATGATGATATTCGTTATATCCGTAATTACGATAAATATAACGAGACTTAAAATGTGTCCACAACTGCAATTTAAATTTCTGTGTGGCATTACAATGTCATCCAATATGCAATATGGAATTATTAATGTAACATTATAAATATTGATAAAAATAAAATTTTGTTAACGCAATAATGTAACTTGACACTTGATAGTTGATATGATATTATTATTATTATCATATTAGCATATTGTTAGAGATTAACAATTAAATGATAAAAAAATGATTATTCAAATTTTAATAATGAAATTAAAAATTTTAATAATTTAATAATTATTCAAAAAATATGATTATAATTAAGTAAGTAATGGAGTAATTTACTTTTAATTGTAATTCATTATTATATAGGGTTCATGTACAATTCATACTTGTAAAGGATGAACTTTTTCATAATTTTTATTAATTAATTGTAAAATTATAATAAAAAATTATAAATGAAATTACATCTGAACTCAAACTTTTTGAAAAGAAAAAAAAAAGGGAAAATAAAGCAGTAATATTACAGGTGCATAACAAAAGTATGAGATCGCCCTCACAAGAACTTTCAGCTTCACCACGTTCCTGATTCTCTGTCTGTCGGTGACAATAGTGAAAAAGTGAAGGCGATATCCGTAATTTCACAATGAAACGAAGCCCCAATCTGAAAACTACCACTAAAATAATCACAGTCATACTCTCACGGTGTTACTCTGTTTATAATTCCAATCTATCAATCACTCCGTAATACTTCCCGCGGCTTTGAACGCGGCTTCAGTTTTGGCTTTTTGCTTTTCATTATTATATCTAATCGCAATCTTTTGCGCCCTTCCGAAAATCCAAAATACTTTTATTATTATTTATTAATTAATTTATTTTTGTTTTAGGAATCTGAAATTACAAGAATCAGCTCGTGACTGTTTTCACTTGTTAGTACAGTACACTACCAGTGCCAAGGTTAGTATAAATAATGCGTCCAATCCTTCTTTTTGGTTGCTTTGTCAAATTTTTTATCTTTTTTCTGAATTTAATTAAAAATCTTCATTCTTCTCAAGATTTCAATGCTAGTGTTCAGCAATGATTGAGTGGATCTTGTTTGCTTAGATGGAAGTGGGGAGAAAGTGGAGGGAAGTGACGGAATATGATGAAGTTCCACATATCAACAACAGGGATAAAGAGGGTTAAGATATCCAACTCGAGCGGAGGAGGAGGTAGTAAGGGAGCGACGGTAGCTGCAACAGGGGCCGCGGCGTTGCGTGGACGGTTATCAAGCCGGACGCTATTGCTGGTGATGTTGGTTTTGGGGATCGCGTTGCCTTTTCTTTTCGTTAGAATTGCCTTCTTGGTTCTTGAATCTGCTTCTTTGTCTTCTTGTTCTTCTCCTATCGGTAATTTCCTATTATTTGCTCACTCCAAATTCGTTTCATGTAAAAATTAAAATAAAATAATTTATTTATTAATTAAAATGATTTATTAAAAGTTTATATTATTTAAATTATTAATATAATTTTAAGAATATAATAAAATATGTAAATTTAATTTTGTGAATTAAACATAATTTTTTTATTTAAAAAAATTGAATTATTTTACATGAGAATAATAATTTTTTTTTATAATTCTATCATTTTAATTATATATAAATTAAATATAATATAAAATAATTAAATTATTATTTTATTTAACATTTATACATAAAATATTATATTAATTATTACTTTTTATAGTAGAATTCACTCTGCCCCTCCTTTTAACCACCGAAATGTTAATGTGATAGGAAATTTCAAAGAGAAATAAGCTGAATCTTATTATATTTCACGTTAAAATTTTAATTGTTGATTTTAATGGCATTTGCAGAATGCATGGGATGGAGACTTTTCAGCGGGGCTGACACATCTCAGGTTAGTGTCATTAGTATCAAACTTTATAATGATCAATATGCCCTTTATCAATTACATTTTTCATTCTCATTTACTTTGGATTGAATTTTTTTAAAAATTTTGAGAAAATAGTAATAATGCAAAAAGCAAAGAAAATTGACGTAATCTGAATCAATAATGCTAGGTTGTATAAGCAACTTCTAGTTAGATCTAATAATTTTAAACATAATACGATAATACGATATAAAAATAATACAAAAAAATTATATATGAGTTTAATGTCATCGTGTTTTATATCTTAAATTTGTCGACATAATTAAGACATAATATTATTGGTGTTGTATTTGTATCAAACAGTAATAAAACTTTTAAGACACGATACTATTTAAAACATAAAAAAATTTAAAAAACTATTTTAATTTTTTAAAAAAATAAATTAATAATTGTATTTATTATATCATTTTGATGTTTAAATTAATTTTTAATTTTTTAAATACTAATTTAAGTGATATTTTTGCTTAAATAAATGGATTAATTGCATATATATTTGTGTTAATCGTAAAATATTATTTGGGTAATTAATCATATCTAATTGTATTATTTATATATAATTATGTTAATCGTGTTGTATTATTTGAATATAAATTAATTTTAATTGTAGTAATTATATTGTATCGTGTATAATACATATATTAAACATGTCGTATTCGTATTTAAATTATTCATGTTATTTAAATATTTATGTTGTGTTCATATTAAAATTATTCATTTTGTGTTTAAAATCGTGTTTTATATAAAACATAACATGATAACACGAATTGTCAGATTTACTTCAAATGATAGATTGCCAAGTGTATAATGGAGGCAAGATTGGAATTTGGTGGGCTTTGTGGTTTCTAGCATTGGTAAACATTTTGTTGTCATTGTCTATACATTCTGATAAATTGAAAGTCCTACAGCAGTGTATGGGTTGCTTGTTTAGCTATGGCTTATTGCCTCCTTATAAACAATTGGTGACTCTGGAATCTTCAAAATTAAAAAAATAAAAAAGAACACAAATCCAATTTTTAAAAATTGGACAATGGGACAAAGAACTATAAATTTTCCCTTTTTTTTTTTTTTTTTCGTTTCTAGCCCATTGCCTGACAAGCACCCTAATTAATCTATATTTTCTTGAACACGAACCAAATTTTGTCTATGTTTAATTTTTGGATAAAATTCAAATCTTAGTCATCAATTTGCAAAATTATGCCAAAAATCTGTCGAAGTTTTATGGTGACACATTAACTCTTCTTATTTTGGTGGCACAAGTTGCTCTATACCCACTTCGTGATTTTCAGAATTGGCTTTTTACATTTCCGATTTATCAATTTCATCTTCTTAAGAGGGTATCCAATTATTCATTTAATCTTGCATAAAGGAGGGGGATACATTAAATAGTGATATGTACTTTTATAGGAGACAATATTACGGTTTGATCCAAGATCTTAACTTCAAGTTACCATCTCTTAAATATTTTTTTTCTTTTTGGTATGATAGGAAATATTTTAATTTAAAATCATATTTGGTGTATAGGGTGATGAATAAGATAGGATAATAATCATCATATATTATATTTAGTTTGTATCTAAAGAAAGTAATAAAATTATAAAGAAAATTAATTATCCTTTTAATATAAAATGATTTAATTTTTTTGAAGTGAAGAGAATTATTTTTAATTTATGAGATTGAACGTACATGTACTATTAATAATTTAAATTATGTAAACTTTGAAGAAGGATAATTTGATCAATAAATAAATTATCATATCTTAATCTTTATATATATCAAACATAATATAAAATGACATTATTTAATTTAATCCTATTTATAATACCTTTTTATCTTATCTTACCATAATTTTGTATACCGAACACATTCAAAACTTACTATATATCTATTCAAATTTCATTTTATTTGTCATTTTCTTTTTCATACACCATGAAATATTGCGATTTGATTTTAACAACATCTATATTCAAATTTCATTCCACTCTTGCTACTAGTTTTTTGGTGAAACCACTCTTGCTACTTGAATTAGGTTTAATATATATATATATATATATAGAGAGAGAGAGAGAGAGAGAGAGATATATATATATATATATATATATTAAATTGCTTCTACAACACTTGGATTTAAGACTTCAATGACTTGAAGTTTGAATTTTATACTATTAAAATGTTTTATGTTTCTAATCAACTAAAACAATTAAGAGGTTTTATATATATTTATATATAATATAATATACGAATTTTAGATACGTGCATGATATGCGTTTAATTCTTATCTCTAAAATTCATCTTAATAAATAATTTTTTGATATAATAATAATAATAATAATAATAATAATTTTGATTTTGATATAAGTAAAATTAAATAACTCTTGATATACTTTTGATAAATTATAACAATTTAATTTCTATTTTTTATATTACAAATAAAATTTGCTAACTTTTGATATAATTTTGATTTTATAACCTTTGATAAAATTTTGGTAATCTTCGATACAATTTTGGTAACTTTTGATATTAGTTTGATTACTTGTGATATAATTTTAGTAGCCATTGATAAATTTTTATAATTTTTAATAAAATTTTGGTAACCTCTTGATGTAATTTTAGTAATCTTTTGATCACTTATGACGTACTTTTAGTAATTATTGATAAAATTTATGTTATCATATATTTAACAATGAATTCCAGCAAGAAAGCGATTTTTGAATTTTAGTATGAGATAATTTTCTTTTTATATAATAACTTTATTATTTTATTTAAATTATAATTTTTTCACTAATTTTTTTATTTAATAGATTAATGGTAAATTTATCCTAGCCTTCCAGGATAAAATTTGTAGCTTTGTTTTTGCTAGTAATGAAAATTCAATTCCTAGACAACTTTAAGTATAAAAAATCTATCAATGATTAATAATTATGTTATCATTAATTTAATATTATTTTATTAGTGATTAATTGTTAAGTTATTAATGATATACTACTAAATTATCAATAATTTATTATTAAATTAGCATTAAAGTACTACTAAACTATGAATGATTTACTATTAAATTATTGATGATTTATTATTAAGTTACTGATGATTTATTATAAGTTATAACTAATTTATTATTAATTTATCGATATTTTATTATAAAGTTATCAATGATTAACTAATTTATTACAAAATTATCATCGATTTACAATTAATTATTGATTTACTATTAAGTTATTAATAATTTACATTTAAATTATCAATAAATTACTATTATGTTATTATGCACTTACTACTATGTGATCACTTATTTACTACTATTATGTTATTAGGCATTTGATTTACTATTAAATTATTATTAATTTACTATTAAATTATCATTAATTTATTATTAAGATATTGGTAATTAACTATTAAGTTATTGTTTTTTTTTTGTTAACCTATCATTAATTGACTAATATGTTATGCATTTACAATTATAAAATATAGAATTTAAAAATTAATATATGAGATAATTTTTTTATATAATAACATTATTATTTTATTCAAATTTAGAATTTTTTACTTATTTTTTTATTAAATAGGTTCATTGTAGGTTTATTCTAACTCCAAAATAAAAGTATTGATTTCATTTTTGCTAATAACTAAAATTTAATCCTTGACAACTTCAAGTATAAAAAAAAAGTTATCAATTATTGGTAATTAAGTTATTGATGATTTATTATCAAGTTATTAATAATATACTACTAAATTATTAATGATTTACTACTAATTTACGAGTGATTTTCTATGAAGTTATTAGTAATTGCCATTAAGTTATTAATGATTTCTATTAAATTGTTGTTGATTTACCCTTAAGTTGTTGATGATTTATTATAAATTTATAATTAATTTACTACTAATTATTGATGATTTACTAAAAATTATCAATAATTAACTAATTTCTTATTAAATTAGCACTGATTTACAATTAAGTTATTAATAATTTACTATTAAGTTATTAGTAATTTACTATTAAATTATTAATTTGTTACTAAATTATCAATGATTTATTATTATATTTTTATATATTTACTACTTGACTTTTTATTATTTACTACAAAATTATCACTAATTTATTACTAAATTATCTATGATTAACTATCACATTATTATTGATTTATATTAAATAATGCATTATTTACTATTAAATTATAAATTATTTAGCATTAAATTATCATTAATTTACAACTAAGTTATTTATGATTTACTACTATCAGTTAATTACTATTAAGTTGAAATTGATTTACTAATAAATTATTGCTAATTTATTATTAAGTTATAGTTGATTTATTACCAAGTTATCAATAATTAACTATTAAGTTATTAATTATTTTTTGTTAAGTTATCTTTGATTTAGCATTATGTTATTATGCATTTACAATTATATTATAATTGTTTTACTATTAAGGTATTATGCATTAATTATATTATTACTGATTTACTAAAAAGTTATCAATTATTAACTATTAAATTATCATTAATCTACAATTAAGTTATCACTAATTTATTATTAAGTTATCGGTAATTATTATTAAATTATACTGATTACATTTAAATTTTTAATTATTAATTGCTAAATTATGAAATATCTACTACTATGTTATTATTGATTTGTGTATATATAAAAAAAAGGTGACCATAACGTATGTTAGATGATGTAATTTGTATAGTAGAGAAAGTAATAAAAAGTTTAAATGTAAACAACTTGAGAGACATGAGCAAATGATCTTAATTTATTATTCATAGTTTAACACGTAATAATAAGTGAAAATTATAATTTTTTATACTAATGCAATAATCAAAACTAAATTATACAATATATATTAAGTTAATCTTTTTAAGATATTCTTCAACTTTTTTAGTTCATGTTAAAATAGTATATATTAAGATAAGTTTTATTAATAATTTGATTGAATCATTAGTGTATGTATTTTCACATCTGTTAGCGA